AAAAGTCTTTAGGTGCTGGTTGAAAAACATTTACAAGTGGCACTCAGTAAATGATGTGCTATATTGAAAACACTTGACATATTTTAGTACTTCTATCGTTCTCATGAATAAGGCACAAAATGCACAGATTCAGGTAAACTCACATGTGATATTTACAGTACGTCATAACCTGCATGACTCAGGAGACAATCCTCACATAACACAACAGAGACAGCATGATTGTAACTACTCATTATGTCTTCACAGACCATTCCTGTGACGCCAATTATGACTCCTCTCTTAGGTCTTTTCTTTTGTACTGTTCTTGTTTTTGGAATTTCTTTTACCTTGGGGGAAGGAGGAATCAGGGGTGAAACATCTTTACTCTATGGGGAACAAAAGAAAACCCAAACCCAAACTCAACCCTTATTAGTGTGTCTGAGGTTAAATAGTGACCCAGGCTTCGGTTCACAGTGGGCAGGTAAATTTTACTACTCAATACTGGTGGCTAAACCAAGGGCACCTCTTGGTATCTCTAGCTCCGCAAGCCTGCGGGCCTGGAACAGAAGTTTTAAGGGTTAGCAGCACAAAATTATGGGAACTCTTACATTCTGGCACTGGGTACCACAGAAATGAAGCTCATATTTGACTGTTGCAGGAGGAGTCTGGGATGTGGCCCCTTTCAGAGCTGGACCCAATGGGCTGGCATGGGAAGAAATGAGTGTCTCTTATTCAGTCAATGTAAACGGTTCCATAGCACAGAAAGTTGCAATGGGAATCTACACGAATCCTAGTGGATACGGAACTCAGAATCTCTCTTTCTATCTCTCTCACACACACACACACACACACACACACACACACACATATACACACTCACAGCTGCAATACGGTTTGTTGGTGGCATGAGAAAAATGCTCATGCTACAGTTGGAAAAAAATGCTACAGTTTGGGTAGAAGATTGAATTTTCAGCAAACTGCATGGTAATCTATGAGTTTGTTTCTTTGAGACATTACCATCTTTTTTATTTTTTTGACATTTGTGCAAGAGGCAAGGTGAATGCATACATAGTTAAAATGTTCACATTGAATGGGAAGACCACACGTAATGGTAGTCTGAATTGAACCCATTTTCAAGTATTTGTTCACAGATTCTTCTGAGTACTGAATCCGCTCTTCCTACTGGTAAAGTAGCCCTTCGGAGCTACACACCACATTAGCTTCAAACAAAAGAAATGGAATGACCAGCACCTTCCTTTGTTTTCAGGCAGGAACACAGAAGCCTGGCCACGGAGCTACATGGGGCTAGTTCTGATGCTGCCAAAGGGAGAGAGTCTCTTTGGCCCGTTGTTTCTCTTAAAATACAAGCAGATGTCTCGTCTTAAGGTACCTCTCCAGGCACGAACAGAAAAAAGCCACACAGAACGGCACGCTGGAGGCCTAGTAGGTGTATTTGTTCAGGGGTCTCACAGACGTTGTCTGAGGAACAAAGGAAGGCTTTGGTGGCACGTCAGGTTTTAAGGACGGTGTCCTCTTTAGTCCCGTCCTGGGGAGGGTGCCATTACTGGTGTAGCTGCTCTGTCTGGAGAGGGAAGGCTGGAGATGGACACTCACAGGCGTCCCCTGAATATAGTCCACTTTCGCCCCGGTGGGGGTGGGCACGTATCCCCCACGGTTCATACTGGGCTGTCTCGACAACAAAACACCATTCTGTGAGTTTAAGTTTTTAGGCATGGCGGAGATAGAGTGCCTCTGCGAGGGAGTTTTGTGATAACCCCTTTGTCTTTCCAGAGAGGTCATGGGGACCCCGGGAGTGGTGGGGACATCCACTCGCTTGGTCGGACTGTTTCTGGGGAGCGTTGAAGGTGGGGAGTAGAGCGATGCCTCCCGGTTGGGCACCTTGGGGGGCACCTCAGACATGGGCCCCGCGGGATCCAGCATCAGGCTCTGGTGGGCCATCTGGATGTCACCCATGATGGCTTTGGGGTTACTGGTGGGGTTGTTGAGATGCTTCAGGAGATCGTTGAGGGTATTTCGGGAGTCCACAGAGCGCCGCTGATCCCTTTTGCTGGAGGACTTTGTGAGGGGGTGGTCCACGTGCTGCAGCTTCTTCTCTGCTTTGTGAGCATTGGAGTTTGAGAAAGACGTGTTGTAGTCGTGGGTGGCGTTCGGCAGGACAATGGCACTGGGGATGTGCCCGTGGCTCAGCGGGGAGTGGGGCGGAGGGCTGGAAGGGAAGAACTGGGGGGCATCCTTCCTGGAAGCCGCGTGGCCATGGGCCTTGTCCGAGTGGCTCTTCATGGCCTGCAGGGGCTTCTGGTGCAGCACCGGGGTGGACTCCGGCGTGGGGAGGGCGGCCAGCTCCGGAGGCTGGACGCGGTGGTCCAGCACCATGGACTTCGGGTCTCCGCTTGGCGGCAGCTCTTTCCGGCTGGTCAGCAGGTTGCTGTAGAGCTTCGGAGAATCGATATTCTGTTGGTATTCCTTCACCGGGCTGTCAAAAAGGCCGTTCAGTTTGGCGAAACTTCCACTGGAGTCTGTGCACGACTGGGCCGACTCGGCGTCCTTGTGGATCTTTCTGTTCTTGCGCACGAACATGTCGCGATAGCAGTAGACTGCCACGCCAGCGATGAAGGCGCCCAGGACGAAGGCGGCGAAGACACAGGTGATGAGCACGTTCATGTGGACCATCTGGGTGGACTCCCCAGACTGCACCTCCCACCGCACACCTGCAGCAGACACAGCGAGAGTCTCAGCGAAGCGCTTTTCAAAACAGTACCACACAGCACAGGGATTCTACTGAGCCCACGCTTAGCACGGAGGGTCCAGCGGATGCCAACAGCCCGGTCTTTCCTCTTTAACCCCGAGAGACACACACAACCCCTGCAAATGCCAGGATCGCTCTAGCCTCCCACTGGTCTGTGACTTTTCTGTCCTTTTCCCCCCAGTCTATCTTAAATAGATGTTAGAAACTTCAAGAGTTGCTACCTAAAAGACAGAGGGAGGAGGTGAACATTTTCTAAATAGCCAAATTTAATCCCACGAAATGTTTAATCTCGTGATTTTCTCCTAATTCACACATCAGAATTAAAAGGCAGCTGCTGAGGGATTAGGGAAACATAGGAATTAGCATAAATATATAGTATGCTTAAATAATTATGCTAATACAGTTATACTAACCCAACTAGAATACAAACACGTGATTTGGTCACAAACTAAAATAATCTCTTAGTCATTGTTAGCTACAGATATAGATTTTCATATCTGTTTTGAGTTTCTTTTTTTATTCCATCTTGGGGAGAAGCACTCTTGAATTACCTGATATACAAAAATCATCTACACAGGATAAGAAATTAAGCTATGTATTAGATAAGTGATACCATTATATTATCTGGAAACATTGAAAAATATTTAAATTAGACCTAGAAGGAGAAGAGTGAATTAGTTTGTAAATACTGGAATTTTTAATGCAACCACAGACATCTAACAGTCAATCAAAGCAATGTTAGCTTAAGAGGTATCTAAGTCTGTTACACGCTAAACACACAGCTATCCCAGAATAAGTTGGTCAGAGGGGTTCTGAAAATTCTGTTGCTTGGGGTTAGTACTAAGGCCTTTGAATATTAGTTGTTTACAATCCATGTCCGAGGTTATGGAATTTAGTGGCATTGTGAAAAACCAAGAAAAGAAAAGAAAAGTAGAAAGAAATGGCATTGCTAAAGAAAATAAAGCAGAAAGAAGAATGATTATAAAATTGTTTACAATGAAAACATATAAACCAAAATCAACCGATGTAAATCATAAATGACAAAGAAGTGCCATAAAACTGGTGGGAAACCTGATTCCACAGATCAGTAGCACCAAGGAATAGAAATTTTTTGGGAGCAAGATATTCATCGGTGAACTCAACAGGCAGCTGTTCTACAAGGGAGTCTCTTGTGGGCTGAAAGTGAGTCAGGGACAAGCTCCGTTGCACTGTTTTGCTTGTGGCGTTTAAGCGACTTGTCACCACACACAGCCTTTCATGCTGCCTTCTGAACTGCAGCTAAGCAAGAGGCTGGGAGGGAAAGGCTCGTAGATGAAGCATCTGCTCCTAAGACATTCGCCATTCATGAGCTTTACTTTCTGATGTTAGGAGGGTGTCCCTTGAAGTGCCCTGATACTCCGCAGTCTCTCAGCTCCTTCAGACGGAAACCAACACAGACCACACTGCCTGAGTGGCTGCTTCCCCGTGTGTCTATGAGAGCCTTCGGCCCCTTGCATCTCTGTGGGAATATGCACTTGGGGAGAACCGCAGCAAAGCCAGGTTGCCGTGGCTGGTCAGGTGGAGGTGAAGGCGGCCTTGGAGGACCACGCACATGCAGCCTCGGAATCAGGTTTCCACACAGTTACGGATGAGTTCCCTCGCTGGTGAGGCCTTACCCTTTGGGACACCCGATAAGGGATCAGTAAAATCAGAAGTGTTTGGGTCATCTTGAACTACAAATTTCCGGGAGCTCGTCAGTTTAGGTCTCCAGGTATCAATCACTTTAGGTGTAATTTCTGGGATACTTGCCACTGTGGTAACAGAAGACGAAGATACCTCCATGTCTGTGGTGGCAAACAGATGTTTATTAACATGGGAAGACCTCTCACTGGTCTAGCATTTTTCAGTAAGGTTTAAGTCAATGCTATGAGGTTTGTTCTAGGATTCTGTAAAAACACACCCGAGGGGCCTACATCAAATCCTTTTCTTGCAAGAGAAGAATACAAACTACAAAAGAACAGTAAAGATGTATTAAGCAGATTTCAAAACGAAAGACATTTAGACATTCCTACGCATGCCCCTCTGGGTATTAACACTGCTTGTGGAGGAGGTAAAACAAATTCCAGTGTACATTCCTTGCTGTCCGCCCATCCTCTGGTGACAGACTGCCTCTTCATTTCTGTTCATTTTGTGCATATTCGAAAAAGCGTTTTCCCAGATGGTGGGACACTTTACTTTCTTCACTGGGGAAGCCAGTGTGATTTCATCGAAAGCATCTGGGTCAGTCCCAGTAAGTGCTTGATTTGGGACGCGATAAACCAGCCCTGCCTAAGGTGTTGGTCTGCTTCACCATGGACCTCCTGCCTACCTGTGGATTTTGCAGGGCCGACGGGAGAACTTCAAGTGTGTTCTCCAAAACGCCCGGGGTGTTGCTGCTGAGCAGCAACGTGTGTAAAAGCAGTGCCATTTACAAACTGAACAGGGATGCAAGCTCCCCCAGCCCTTTCTCCTCACAAGGACAGGACCTGCTGTCAGCCCTAGGCGCAAGCAGGCTGAGTCACTTAAGCTTTCAGCTCGGCTCGCCAAGCAGCTTCTTTCCAAAGGTGAGCATGTTGTGTTAGGCTGCGACTTCCGTTTGGACCAGGGCACAGTCCCGGACAGAGGGCCCCAAACAGACAGAGACAGGGACAGAAGGAGCTCACTGAACATCTCAGCACATCCAGACCCAGCTTGCTTCTTTGCCCGGCCTCTCTGCTACATCATCACTGACACCACGACATTCCAAGATTATCGCACAACATTCCAGAAGAGAACTTTAACACTCACAAATACACACTGTGGGGAAATGTGTATTTGGTTCCTCAGTCTCAGGAAAGGTGAGCAGAGAGGGAGAACAATATGGAATTCCGCCATCCTTTCGGATAGACGGCCGGGGGGTCATTCACGATGCAAGGGGGTGAGAGAGGAAAGCTCGGTGGTGTGCGTGCAGCGGAGGGGGTTTATGTGGGCCCGGCTGGCTTTCCTCACAGGCGGTGCCTGCTCCATGATGAGCCCTTCGCATGCTACACGGGGTGAAGAGCTGAGTGAGAAAAAGTCTCCCGGTGCCGTGAAAGGGATCATGAGACAAAGCGGAAAAATGAAGGTTTGCCAAACTGCGCAAAAGGAGGGGGAGAAGGGGCTGAAAATGCTGAACTGAAGGAAAGAAAAGGTTGTTAATTCAAAAAAATTAAAAAAAACTAACCAGATGTTGGACCGCCAAATATTTTGTAATCTGGTGTAGTTGAAGTAGGCAAAATTTCTAAAAGAATTAAAGGAACAAGTAATCAGTGAAAAGTAACCAAAAGAAAGCAAAAAATTTATGAATTCCAATTAACTAAAAAAGCCAAAAGAAAAGACTACAAACTAAAAGATTTACCTACTGGTTAGACTACCTTTCTCTAGATTTTCTACCAAATGGTCAACAGTGAAGGAAAAGAAAAAATAAAGATTCTTTGCTACTGCACCCCCATGACCAAACGGCTCAACTTTTGCGAAGTTTAAGTTAAATGCTAGGTGGTATGTGTCCCGAGTCCTTAAAAAGGCTGCTCGTAAAATAATGTTCACGTGCAGATGTGGTCAAAAAGGAGCAGTGGGTGGGCTGGAAGGGTCCGTCTTACCGTGGCAGTCCCCTAGGTGGGCCGTGTGGCCGTATTCTGTGTCCTGCTCGTACCCTCCGGCGCTGTGGTTATGGAAAGCAAAGAAGTCTTCGGTTAGCAGCCTTCATAGGACCAGAGCGACAACAGAGCAGAACCAAAACACAGGTGGGTTAGTGAGGTTGGGCACAGAGAATGTCACCGAAGGACATTTCAACGTGGCTTGCTAACCGGCCTGTCTCCGTTCCAGATCTAACTAGGATGTGAAGAGACCCGCAGAGAAGAGAACTGGTTTTCCTCTGTGGCCACTTTCCTTGAGTATTATTAGCTCTACACTCTCCCTTCTCATAGTTCAGGTTTTCTTTGTATTTCTATTCCTATTTCTTCTCCCATACCAAAAATAAACAAACAAATGAATAAATAAATAAATAGGAACTTTTCTATGATGTCCAGCTTTGGAGACCCTGGAGAAGACTATTTCCCGCCGTCATGACAGTGCACACTTACAGCATTCCTGGGGTCACTCTCCCGCAGGTGCCCTGGCTTAACCAGCCGCAGTACGGGTCCCTCGATGCGATACAGGACCTGTAAGAAGTCAAACAGGATGTGACCGTGGATCATCTCATCACCACAGTTCCCCATCCCACAAAGACCTCACGTAAGTAAACCCATGCCTGGAATCCAGCCCTCTGAGAGGCCGAGGCAGGGGCACTGCGTGTTCGAGCCTAACCCGAGCAACCTAGTGAGGCTGTGTCTTGAAATAAGACATAAAAGAAGGGCTGGGGACATAAAGAAGGGCTCACTGCAAATGCCACGGCTCACTCCCATGACTACAAGGGGGAAAAAGAACCACCAAAGGTGTGTGCTTACTTTTTACACGATCCATACCGCTCACAGCGGCTGAGGGGTATGCGGATGACACAGCTAGAGAAAGCCACGTACAGCGCGTGATGGCCCTTGTCCAGCTGCAATGAGAGGACCTTTCTGTCTTCCTCATTCTCAGCGCTGCATCTATTGTAGAGGAAAGATTTCGAAGTCACACGTTTAGCCAATCAAAAGCAACCCAACCCGCACAGGCCGATATTGTGTAGTTTGGCAACCCCCGAAAACGGGGGGAGTCTTCAGAAATAGGCAGCACAAAGTTTGGGAAATAGTAACTCTGTGACTCATTGTTGCAGCGATGCACCGGCACGTAGAATCCCCAGTTGGACAAAGGGTTTTCTGAAGACTGCTCTGTTCCTAAGGTGACATGAATTGTATTTATGAAGGATGTAAGGGATAAAAAGAAGGATGTTTTAACGCATGAAAATCCTTCCTGCAGAAAGTTTCTGAACCTCTCCTTGGTCTCCTTTGCTTCACTCTCATCACTTATTTGTTTTAATTGTCTCAGATGTCTCACTTTATCTCCCCGGTTGGCAGAAAACGCTAGACCATGAATAGGCTTTGTGAATGTGTGTTCTTCGACTGTCTCCCATGCACAGCATCCTGAAAATATACCTGCAAGGTGAGGGATGCGGGCTAAACTGTTCTCATTTTCCACAGGTGAAAAGCAAGGGCTGATGTTATTTTTCAAACTTATTGACTATTCACCCTTCCCACCCTAATTGGCTCAGGGAAAAAAACAACAAAAACCTCAGGATTTACTATAGCGAGGGAGAAAACAAAATAAAACAAACACTAATATGCCAAACCACAGCCAATTTAGAGGGAAGGAGGGAAATGATTAGATGAAATGCACGCCGGAAATGTGTGAGCAGCGTTCTGGTAAAATACACCTACTTGGCGTGGTTGTAGGCTTCGATCTCTTCCAGTAACACGCTGTCATTCAGAGAGAAAGCCGTGGTCTTTGCCAGCACTTTGAGCACCACGCCGGCCTCAGAGCCAACAAAGATGACTGTGTAGTTCTGGTGCGGCCCTGCCGAGTGGTCCACTGCGATGGCCGTCAGTCGGTACCTGTGGGAGGAGGTGGCCATCACACCGAGGCCCAGAGCCCCAGGATGCGGGCTGGGGCAACCTCTGCTCCCCACCGGGGCTCACCGGACTCGCGTCTTGGTGAACCAGGGCTCGTCAGCAATGAGGGGGACGGCAGCGTCCATCAGCGGGTGGGATTTGATGAAGGCCAAGGTCTCATCGGGGAATTCGATGGAGGTTTTGTACGCCTCGGCGAGGCCATGTTTTGCACAGCAGCCGGGCCTGGAAGGAAAACAGTGTTCTCTGACTGCTCTCCTCTCCCAAAGTGGGTCTAGGGAGCAAGTGCACCTTCGGAAAGAAGAGGATAAGAGAGCGGGGACAGCATGCAGGACAATGCTTCTGTCCTGCCTGCAGAGAGCAGTCCACGTTTCCAGGTGCGGGCTGGGGACGGCTCACAGTGAGCCATGGACATGTCTGAACTGCCACACAGGGGCTTGTCCTGGGGAGGGACAGATGGGACAGACGGACGGACGGATGGGTGAATAGATGGATGGATGCATGGATGGATGGATGGATGGATGGATGGATGGGTGGATGGTTGACCAGATGGATGGATGGGTGAACGCTTCCAAAGACCACAGAATTTTATTCAAAGCAAAATCCTCCTCAATTTTTTCCTTTACCTTGGCTTTGGTACTTTGTCTTCAGGGACTGCTGTCCAAACAGAATCTGGGGTTTTCTGTTCTTTAAATCGTCCTCTGAATACTTTTTCGATGTCATCCATGCTAAATGCACAGACCGCAGAACCAGGAATGCTGCAAAAGAAGACAGCCCATCAGGAAGCGTTTGGGGACAATGGGCCTGGGCTTGGTTCTGATGAGCAAACTCAGAGCAGCTTTTGAAGTCCCAGGGGCACCTGTTCTCACCTGTTGAGCTGTGTGGTAAACACCCCGACCACAGTGGGAACACCATTGATTTGTATGATGTCTGTGATAGACTGCAGAACATCAAAGTAGAAGAAGGAATCTCCAGGGACAGAGCAGTTAAGCCGAGCCTTCAGAAACGAGGTCCAGTGTTTGTCCAGGACCCGCTGGGAGCCACCCATGTCATTTTTACATATGCGAGCCACTCGAGAATAGACAGCCTGCCCAGGGACAAAAGCGAAGTAAGAGGGTTGTGAGCACGAAAGGGGAATGCAAACAAAAGTAGCTATTTAACAAGGGGACCAAAAATGCTAACAGTATGTGGTACAGAAAGTCTAGCAGCATTCTCCTCAGGGGTCTATAGAGTAAGAATGTAAACTACATTTACCTGCGAGACAAAAGGACAATTTCCTACTCTGCCAGACATGTTCCCCAAGACACGAACTATCTGTCTGCAGTGCTGAATGAAAACCCTCCCCACACTCCATCTCTGGCTTTGCTTCTCAGATTGCTAATGAAATGTGCCATCTATACACTGGGCATAAAGCAGCTGCAAAGCTTTAAGATCACACAGGCTTTTCCCAAAATACAGTAAGTGGGGCAGGAACCCCTCCGTTCCCTCTGCCTTCTGACACTGCAAAAGACCAGGCCATCAGTGGTTTTCTACAGAGGAAAAGGTGCTTCTGTGGCTTGAGGGTACCTGTAGCATACTTCTATGGTGACAGGAAAAAAAAAAAATTGAGACAGCTGCTTAAGGCCCAAGGCTGCTGTTCCTATTCCGGTCACTGTTCAGGGGTTTTCCGGGAATTATTCCCAGGTAAGCACCCCACCACCTGGCCTTCCATGCACTGAGCTGAGTGCTGGAAAGTGAGCCAGAAGAGCCTCCGTCACGCAGACAAAGCGGTGTCAATTCCTCACAGTAGAAGCCTGCAATACAGATCAAGGGCAGATACTTGCCTTGCCTAAATTATTGTGTTCTACGGCAATTTCCCGAAAGAAGAAATAGACGTAGTTTCCGTACTCTATGCCATGAAGGAAGTGTGGCTCTGAAAGAAAAAAAAAATTGGAAACAAACTAGTTCCCAAAGGATAACACAATGAGCATAAGACCCAGACCGCAAGGTGTGATGGGCAGGTGTGACACAGTCGCACTCCAGGCAGAGACTGAGGAGGCCCCCGAATGGGTGTATTTAAACTTCAGGGAGCCTGGCGTCTTTCAAGTCAGCTAATGGACTGTAAAAAGGCCTAGAGGGAACCGAACTACAGCGAAGGTCTTTGTTTCAACAGATTTATTCATTAACCTATTTAACTAGAGAAGAAAAACTCTTACACCGAGAATTAAATAATCCCAATTTCTAGAATCTAAAGGAAAAATAAATGACCGTGGGCTGATATGGACTGATCAGTTCTCGCGGCTGGCTCTCCGAGGCAGGCAGATGGAAGGAGACAAGTTGTTGTGTGTGCGTTTAGAGTTAGACAGATTGGTGGACAAAGGCAAGATCCGTCTCTAAGTCTGTGGCGGGGGCGGCGTGCGTGTTCCAGATCATCCTGGGTAGCTGTCTGGATGAACCTACTCTCCTGAGATCCCACCTCATCTCTTTCCCCACCAGTGGCTCCTTTCACAACCACAGCGATGTGTGAGGAACGCTACAGTCATGCCATTAGCGTCCTTTTGGCCTGACTCTCTTCCCAGGGACCCCAAGCTCTGCGAAGGTACCTTTTATCCATTTGGAATCATATCTGATTGTACGAAGGGCGGATCCATCCCCCATGCTCCGATAAATAACGTGATCGCTGGACAAGAAGTCAGCCACCGTGGCAGAGTACAGCTTCCCATCTGAAACCCAAGTTGTAATTTGGTAAAATCACCATAATTATCCCGGAGGGTGTTAGCCTGTGTGGAGCATCACAGCCTTTGTGTCGTGTCCCCCGCGCCCGTGTTACTGTCACCAGCACGGATAACCCCACACCTGACGCTCACACTGCACCTCTAGCAGGCCCGCCCACGGTGTTCCGATTTTACAGATGAGAGATCTAAACGTCCAAAGTTAACCAACTTACTCGGGGTCACTAGTTTTTGTGAAGAGCCACATGTCCTAATGCTAATACGCACCGAAGCCACCTTGCTTCTTCTAACTTTGTCTTTTTGAAATATTTGTTCATAGATTTTAGTCTTTGAAATGTCTGCATCAAGATGTCTATCCAACTCGAGATTTTTTTCCCTTCCTTTAAATTCTTTCTGTACCTTCAATGTCATTAATCATTTACATTCATTATGCTAAAGGTTCTTACCAGCAAAAAGGGCAACATTGGTTTGTCTGGGATCAAATGGGCATCTTGCCAGGCCATTAATTTCTTCCCCATCATACTCTAAGGTATTCAGCTACAAAAGAAAAATAAATAGCTTGTGTCACATCTGCTCAATGTACCTGTTGGAAGGCAATACTGCTTTATTCGTATTGAAATTCTATTTGAAGAATTCTATTTATATTCTTTTACAGCATTAGAGATAAAACAAATTACTGAGTCATAGCACAAAGGATTCAACTCTAACAGTGCACCGGGGGAGGGAGTAAAGGTCGGCCAAAAAAACCATAGCGTATAAAACATACTTACCCTATAGTACCTGCACATAGGATTGAATGCATTTGTACCACAAACAAAAACCACCTCATCGTTTCTTGGAACAAATACTTTGATGAAATTGTGGCATTCATCCTAAAGAAAGTAACCATCACGTTAATGTTAGACGTCCCATATGCTGACATCGTGGGGTCAAGCCCAGAAGAGACCAAATCTAGGAGGCACTGGTCCCCCCAACTTACTTTATGTTTGCCTTTCATAGCACAGTTTTCTCGATCCTGCTGTTTGGATCGCCATGTCAGCTTCTGTGTTCAGCAAGCAAAGTCAAAGTTGAGATTTTAAAGTGGGAACAGGGCGTGGGGGGAGGGGGTTGGGCGTTATGCAAACTGCGAGGGAACATAAAATTGTTCGTTTTATGCAAATGAACCCGGGGGCCACAATGCTCACCTTGGTTGGTATGACTTCTGTTTTGGGGATTTCATTTAAGTTTACTGAGTAAACTTGATCCCTGTTGGAAACAAGGCAGGAAGTCAGATCATGCGAATGCATAAAGATGGTAAGCTGTTTCTTATTTTATTTTTACAGATCTGCCTTTATTGTGTCTTGGAGATCATCTGGATTTTCTCTGTCTCAAACAAAGAGTTCCTTTTCATTAGCGGGATAGTTTTATAAATCATTGCGGCCAGGAGCAAAGAAAGCTTTTCTCTCCAGGCAAGGGTCAAGCTGCTACTCAGTATTAGCATAGGCATATTTCTAATATTTGCTTGAATAATTCAAAGTTAAAAAAAGAATAAAGAAAGATTTTTCCCCTGCTGCTTTAGGAGAAAAGAATGGTGTTTGATTTCTTGATGGCAGTAATGAAACAGCACTGCTGAAGGCTCTAACTCTGTATTTTGTGCCTGCTACACAACACTGACTCTTCCTGGTGAATATTTTTGGCTACTTGCAATTCTTGATCACAATCACATATTAGTTTTTCATGAACTAGACACATTAATGCAAGCACCCCAAGAGAAAAGAATTTTAATCTAATAAACCAACGAGAGGAAAATTACCTGCCAGCAATATAAAGTGTGTCTCGAATTTTCAACATCAGCTGAAAGTCCAGCCGGTGCTGCGATTCATTGCCTGAAGGGCGTCCTCTAAAAACCGGATATTGCCTTGAATCTGCAAGTAAAAATGGGCTAAACCATCAGTCAGGATTATGGAACTAAAGAATCAATATACAGCATTGATTAGCTGTATATACTAGTTGTAGAAGGGTTTTAACTAAATACCTCTCTTAAGGTCTTGAATATAAATGCATAAAAGATGGTGAATGTCAGCAAATGGTCTTTTTCTTTTCACTGAACTCATCTAACCTGTCTGTACGGGTTGTCACAGAAAAGCACCCAACAAAATAGTTCTGTTTGCTCCAAACATTTGGGAAAAATTACCAATAAACTAATAGGCAAAACATTTTAAAGGCATAAAAATCTCTCTCTCTGAAAAGGAACAGGCTTGGACAATGAAAAATAAAAGAGCTTCCTTCTTAGGAAAAGAGACTGCTTCAGAGGACTTACAGTGGTAGTCAACAGTGTTAAGGGGCTCATCATCTTCCGGAAAGCTGACTGCCCTAGCCTGGGAAATCCTCAGGAGTAGCATGTAGACACAAAGCAGGAAGAGCCTCATGGCGGGCCAGGACGACGTCAGAGCAGCCGAGCCTTAGAAATCCCACTTAGCTCTCTGAAACACAGAAGCGGATTGAAATGAGCTCTAAGCTGTGGTGAGATGTTGTCCCACCCATAACCAGCTCTCTTTGCATCCCTGGCTCTTTCCAAAGCTTCCCTCCTACCAGGAATGCTGGTGGTGGTACACCAGGTATCTTCAAAGACACAGGGAAAAGATGGCAGCGGGCCTGGCATGGCCAAAGCAGCTGGTGAGCATACTGACTTCGTGGGTAAATTGGCCAGGTTTTTGCAGGTAACTATGCGTGTCATCACAAGAAAATCACCCAGGACCACAACAGAAAGGCTGGCTATTGAATTAAAGGAGATGGGCAAAGTTGGGATACGAATTTTCATTAAACTCCGATCTACATCCCTTTCCCCAGTCCTGGACTACATCGAACACAGACTGCCTCTGCCCCCCAACCAAATGTCCAAGCTGTCTGTAAACTACCCGGAGTACTGAGGCCCCTGTCAGCACTCACAGGCTCTTGGCTTAAGGTTTTGCTGAGTTCCCAGCATAACCAATCCTTGACTCTAAATTCTCAAGAAGAGTAGTTCCAGACCATCATGGAAATAAGGACACAGTGACCTTGAGTCAGGGTGAAAGGGAAGGGAAAGAAACGCAATGATTTCATGAAGACCAATCAAGCAAGGCAGGGAGAGCAGTGGCACAGCTGACACCTAGCCGCTGGGGACATCTACATTTTTACATAAAACCGTCTGGACTTGAGCCAATACCCTAAGCACGCCTGGCCTCTTAGCTTTATTGAACTTTAGTGCTGCAGGGAGCCTTAGGGACCATCTAGTCCAACCCTGTCAATTTTTCAGATGAGAAAACTAAGAGCTAGAAAAATGAAGGGGATTTGATGAATTTCTTGGAGCTTGCGGGGGTAAGATCAGAATCCATACTCAATCAGCTAAGTCCCCACTGTCCGGGTTGTTTCTACAAATTAGATGCGGAAAATAAATGACTGGGTTTGTCCTTCAAATATGCAATGTAATGGGAAGACTGGGGGAGGGGCTGGATTTATTCATCATCTTTCTGGAAGTCTTGTTTCACAGATAAGAAATTCAACATTACATAGGTACAGTTTATTGTACACCGATTCTTCACTAAAGCTAAAGAGCATTAAATTGTGTAATAACCACAATAAAAAAGTTAAAAGAACTTTAAACAGCATTAACTTATTAAAAAAGAAAATGAGGGCCCTGCTGGATCAACAAGATGGGCATTTCTGGGAAACCGTATGGCTTCACTTACAATACCATCCTTTCCTCAACCACAGTTGCCAATTCTAGCTGCCGCACCACACAGTAAAACATTGAGCTCACTGTCAGACCCATACACCTATGACCTTTTAAGCAAATCATGAAGACCCACAAAGAACCACTTCAGATTCTGAGGGATCTGACCTCTCAACCAAGTACCTACTGTGCTTTTGTCTCCTTAAAATCAAGCACATAGGTGTCTGCCTACCTGTGCAAGCAGGATTTCTCTGAAACAGAAGCCGAGTACACGTGAGCTTTAGTGTCTTAGTTTTGCAAGGAGATGATAATACCACAATACAAATTTTTCTTAATGGAAGATTGATCCTGCAGCCAGTTAATAAATTAAAATGACTGTAGTATGGTGGAATGGAACCCACGACAGGACCGTTTTGTACTCAAGTTTCAAGCTCTATGGACCTGAGTCATCTGGTGTGGATAGAACTCCACTACCTACTAGCTCGTTGACCTGGGAAAGTTTCTTCAGTCTTGCTGGTCAGTAGTTTCCTCATCTATAAAATGGGGATGCCAGCACCTCTTCTCCTCAAGAAGAAAAGGAAATATAAGCTTGGTGCCTTGAGGACTCTGAACAAAGACAGTATCTAGGCATGACCAAGTTGACTTGAAAAGTTTGAGCAATTCTACAAGTGAGAAAGAACCAAGAGACGGAGGGGAGAGAAAGTGTCGCGAGCCGGCGACGCAGAGCACTGTCCAGCAGTGTCTCAAACCTGAAAGAGCAGCGGGGTGGAGATGGGGCAGAGAGAAAGGAAGGACGCCAAGACAAGAGTCTGATCAAGGCGGCGTTTATTGCCGGCAAGCACCGGCCTTTTAAAGCAAAAAACCACAAACTATTATGGGATGGTTTTACCATAGTAACTGAAAGGTCACACAGGAAAAGAGCAAACAGGTTCACCAAAACAACCCACTGTGGGTAGCAGTAACCCGGACAACCACACATCTAAAGGTCAGAGACAAGAAACTGTAACTTTCAGGAATTCCACAAAGGAAACACTCTACCTGCTAAACTGGAGAAACTTAACACATATAGAGTTACTAAAGTTAACAATACTTACAACCAATACTCATGATCCCCACAAGAAAGGAGAGCTAAAAAGAATGAAATTGTGTTACGTGTATGCACCAGTTCCCCGGGATGAGTGTAGTCGTTGTGTACTGCAAACATGTACCAATAAAAGTAAAAATTTAAAAAGTCTGAACAAAGTCTGGGGAAAGATGTTCTAAAATATGAGGGCTATTTGATTTATTTATTTCCTCACAAAATAAAGTTATTTAAAAATATTAATGGATTACATTTAGAATACCCTTTGCAACTTGTGCCTATTTATCAAACCTGGAAAATGAAGTTAAAATAATTACTAAAATGTGTACGGCCATCCCGACCCCAACAGCCATGGTTTCGGCCACGCGCAAACGTTCTCAGGGGTTGTGGGAAGGTGCCTTTTTCTGCCGGCCTTTTTCTGCAGGCCACTTCCTCTAAAGCAGCGTCTCCTCGCCTTACTTTTTCCAGTGTTGCCATTTTCAAAGCGCATAGAAAGGTGCAGCAGTGTCCAAGGACAATACGGGCGCTACCCTGCCCTAAGAACTAGGTTCTGCCCTGGATGGAAGGGCCCTGGATGGGTCTTGCTGGACATCAGGAGAAAGAGAGGAAATCCTTATTCCCTGAGAAATGTGGAAATAGCTGCACAAACAGGAAAGCCCAGTTCTTCGGACCTTGATCCTCCCTGACAGGTAACTGACTGGCTCCCACCGGGGAGACAGCTTCTCCTTAGCCTGGGGAGCAGGGCAGGGAGGGGCTGCCGGGCAAGCCTGCATCTCAGCAGCAACTGGACTCAGCCTAGAGCTCCCAGCAACCGCCTGAGCTACCATTTCCGATAACTCGTGCATCTGACACTGCAGAAAGTACTTTTCTCCACGCCCCGCCCCGCCAGCCTGATCCTCCAAAAATAAAGCCCCGCCACTAACTGCTTCCTGCCCCTACATAAAGCATTATTACAAAAAATACTTACTGATTTGCCACAGAAGTTATAAATGGAAGCATTTTATGCTACACGTACATCAAAGTGAGGTTGAGCAGGGGCAGGAAGAATCTGCAAATCCTTGAGAGGAATGTTTTCAGCAGGGGAATTATTCGCATGCAAAGTTCTCAGACTACAACGGTCCCACTTTAAGGAAGATCCTCAAGATGCCAGAGACCAGGAGATTACTTCCCTGGAAGGCAGGCAAAGTATTAGAAGTGCACGTGGTCCTCGGAGTTCAAACTTCTCGCACCATCTGTTTCCAGGCTCTGAACCTTGCTGAAGTTGACTTTATCTCTTTAAGATTCAGTTTCCCCAAGTGCAAAAGGGAAGCAGCTGTCCTTACTAACTCATCAGCTTAGTATTAAATGAGATAAACTACATAAACCATCTAGCACAGAATTGCATTCATAGTAAATCTCTGATAAACTGTAGTAAATATCACTGTGACTATTACTGTTACGTCTTCCTGGCATTGGGCAAGGAGGAACTTTTAAGAAGCGATTTTCACTCTTTCATCTTGTACAGCTATTTGCAAAGCCATTATCACAACGGCAAGGGTTTCCAAGAAGACCGGTACAGCTTCACAAATGAGGATGCCTCCGAAAAGCAACAGGGAACCTCCCTTCCAGCATTCAGACTCACAGTCAGAGCACCCCCGCCCTAAGCTTAGTCCTTTCAGTTAGAGCAGGGGTTCCTCAGTAAGTGTATTTTTTCCCTTTTTCTGTATTTCATTCTTCCACACATCCCTGATGTTAAATTTTAAACAGAACGAGGGAGTTCTTGAAAGGAGTTCAAAGGCTTGAGGGCCAGAATCCTTGGGAGACAGGAGAGGCAAGAGGGTGAGCTCCACACTCAGGCCTTGATTTCACCTTATAGAACTGCTACTACTTCAAGTCTATACACAAGAGTGCAGCCATGAAGAAAAGCCGTATCTGAGATAGCAGTCTCAAGCTTAGGACCCACCAACGAGTACTACTAGTAAATATGCAAAGACTTAGTTGGACCTCTGACGGCCCAAATAAACTACGAGAGAAGAAAAACATGAGGTGACCCAAAATTCCAGCCTGATCTCTTACAGCTAAGGCCCGCATGGGTGGGGGTCACCTTCAACTACTCCAGTTTTTTATCAAAACAGGTAAGGTGAACTATGTCTAGAGAAAGATAGTATCATCCACGTAACAATTTTTAAAAATGCAATGTGCAACATTCAACCAGGAAATACTAAACATTCCAGGGCTAAGAAAAAGCAAAGCAAACAATACAACGAAGTAAGGATTAACCAAGATAGTAGAGTATCAGACTTATTTTTTTTAATCTTATTTTATCTAAAAAAAGATGATAAGATGGAGCATTTTACTAGCACACTGGAATCCGTCAAAAAGAATGAAATGGCAATCCTACAACTAGAAATACAAAAACTGAAACTGCCGGCTAGATGTATTTAGCAACATGTTGGCCTTCACTGAAAGGACTAATATACTGGAAAACAGGTAAACTGAAGTTCGTAGACAGAAATATAGACAGCCAAAAGATGGGAAAAAACAAATCAAAAATTCTCTCTATCTATCTGGATAGACACAGTAGGATCTTGGTGTGTGAACTTAATTCCATCCATGGCTCTGTTCACAGAATTCGTTCCACGATCCTTGTTGCAACTGAATTTCAAGTATTTACTATGCAACCAGGATCGTGGAATGAATTCTGCGAGTATAATCATGGAAACAATGGAGTTCGTGAACTAAAGCACCACTGTAGATAGATAGATACATAGATGGAACCTGTGAAAAGACCTAACCTATTACAACCTGTAGTAGTAAAGATAAAAACATAGGTAGAAGCAACACAGGACGTGGTAATGGCTGTATCCTTTTTCAAAACTGACCAAAGAACACAGCTACTTATTCATGAAACTCTTAAGGACTTCGAAATACTACCAAAAAAAAAAAAAATGATACCTGGACATCATAATTAACATGCTGAAACAAAGAGAAGCTTAAAAGACATTAAACTCTAAAAGAGGAAGAATACTCCTGGCAGACTTATTAATGCAAACAATGTAAGAGTAGACCATAGAATAAGGTTTGAGATGTGCTGAGAAAAAAATAAGTGTCCTTCCTAGAATTCTGTAACTAGTGAGAATAATTTTTAAAAAGAAAAAGAAAAAAGTTTAGACAAATAAAAACAATTTATTGTTAGCAGACTGAAGCCAAAAAAGGGGTTCTTTAGGCAGGGCAATTTACATGAGAATTTAAGGCAATTTCTTTTTGTGGGTATAGCATAGTTGCCAAATTTGACACTGATAATGCTCAGATAAATAAGTTATTACATAGTCCCTGGCTCTTAGAAACTATGTATTAGATAAAAGGGAATGAGAACGCAGAACTGGAGTAGGCTGACTTCTACACTAGCTCAAAGAACCCAGGGAAAGCTGGCTGAGCACAAAGGTCCAGTTCTCCAAGAGGACCCTGTACAAACTCTCACGTTCCACCCACCTCAAGATCTGAATGTAGACTTGGTTCTTTCTAGTTTCCCGATGACTTCTCCAGAGCTCGGGTCTCCATGATCTTACAAAACAGTCTTTGCTAACTTGAGTTTCTCCTTCTCCTGTCTTTTATTTGATAGCTTCCTGGCCACTTTCTCTAGCTCACTCAAAACTCAAAGATTCCAGCACCACAACCCATGGTTAACTCTGGTACTTCACTTCATAGACCACAGTAAAATCCTCCCTTAATAGCAGAGTCGCTCCTAGGGAAATGGATGCACCTTAAATCCATAATGTCAAGTGAAGTAAATCAGACATACAAACTTCAGTATCACATGGTTTCTCCTACATGAGAAACCTAAAGTACAAATAAATTAACACATTCACCATGGGGCTGTAATTCGTGTGTCTTGAATCACAGGTGGTACATGCATGACTGGCCCATCGAAGTCCCACTGCGTGGTACAAGCTATCCAGTGGGATGGTCATGCGTGTACCTTTGGTGGTTCAAGCAGCCAGGAATGTATTAAAGAGCAAACTAAAAGACACAAAGAGGAAACAGGGAAGGAGATTAAGAGATATTGGGAAGGGGGAGGGAGGGAAGGAGGGGAGGGAACATCAAAGGAATTGAGATGTGTAGTGTTCATGCCTCAACACTCCACAAGGAAGGCGTGCACTCTGTACTGCAGACACGGACTGATAAACACATTCACTCAAGAATCATACTACAGGCAAGCGTAGATCCTAATCTGCCATCCCACTCATCTGACCACATTCACCACGACTGTGAGCTCTTCTCCTGGGATCATCAGCCCTCTAGCTCTCCTTCTTCTTTTTCTAAACTCTTCTTTCTCCTCCAGTGTTGACACTCCTCATCATCCATCTTAGATATAACAGTCAATGGTCAAGCACTTCCGAAATATGTCTGCCTGTGCCCCAGACCCCAGCAGCCTCTGCCTACCGGTCAGACTTCCTTGCAGAGGCCTCGTCTTGGGGGACCCCACCATGTCTCCTCTGCACCTGCCCAGAACACAGAGCTCTAGTGAAGACGACCACTCTTAAAGGCTGCCTTAGCTACTGTCTTAGCCCCTGCCCAGTCCCTCGGGTCAAGTGCCTACCGAAGTTGTCAATGCTGAGACACTGCAAATGTCCGCGTCAAGCATCCTGAATACAACCATCCTTCAGAATCTCCCAGGGCAAGACTAGCATTTTGGATCCCTAATTGGGATTTACGTATTAAACCAACAATGAGATCCCAGGATGATGGGACCCCTGGGTCCTATTCCCAGACAGTACCACATACTCATCAAGAATGCTCTGGACCAAAGGGAGAAGTGGAGTGGATCTAGAGCCAAAGCCTGGAGGTGCATCCACTCCGGAGTCCGTGAAATTCCAGGGCATTGTCCACACTGTAGCTGCTGAGAGCCCCAGAGTTGCAGGAAGTAGAGATCTACTGCCCAACAGCTCTACTGGACCCATGGAAAAGGAGCAGTGGGTTCAGGGAGATTGAAAGAGAGCCAAGAGAAGCAAGTTGATGGCAATTCCGTGGAGCCCACAAGATACAGAAGGTTATGACTGAAGGCCAATTACCAAAGAAAGGTCTAGGCTTACAGAGAATTTGCTAGTCCAGATTCCAAGCTGTGCTCTGTGTAAGACTTTGGATTTTAATCTTTGGTCAGTATCAGCATTTAATCAGAATAGTATGACAAACAGGCTGACCTTTGGAATATCAGACGGTAGTAGATATTCATCCTTAAAGAAAGCTGGCCAGTCCTCTTCCTGCCTGCCTTCTTCCTTATTTCCTATCTTCCTTCCTCCCTCACTTCTTATCCTCCTCCTGCCTTCCTTACCTCTCTCCCTCCTCCTCTTCCTGTGCTGGGAATGAACCCAGGGCCTCATGAAGGTTGGGCAAGCAGCTGCCCTGAACTCTATCTCCAGCCCCAGGGCCTTGCTTCACCCTTCACCTTCCATTCATGGTGAGAAGCTGGGCTATGAACCATCCCAAGGTGCACACAGATTCCAGAAGAGGCTGAAGAAGAGCTAGGACAGGGTCCTCTGGGCCCTCCTGAACAGTGCAAGGCGGCTGCTGTGTCCGGCTCACCAAGCGACCCTGACCGATGGGGTCCTATGGACTGCAGGACTCCGCTGCTTGCCCAAGGCCATCCCCACCCTCTCCTTTCCTGCACACAGGTTTGGGCACCAGGTGCCAGACATGAGCAAACACATCCTCCTCCCTTTCCCAACCCAGGAAGCAGTGGCTGCAGGGCCCCAACTCTGAGACCTTCTTCCTTTTGGAAACTTGGGTGCCCAGACAAGAGGAAGAGGCCACCAGCCCTGCAATGTGAATGACACTCAATAACTAATCACCTAAAACTTTGCCCCATGGCACGGGGGGGAAATGATGACTCCACAGCTGTATGAGTCACCTCCGGCTCAGCGGCAGCCCTGTGGGGACATCACAACATGGTAGGCTCAGCACTCTCAGGGCAGGGGCTCAGGGGAGACTGGGGAGTCAGCACCCCGAGGGCCAGGGCAGGGACTCTTCTCCCACTGACACCAGGCGATGTGGGGTCCCAGGCGTGGCCACAGCCAGGCGAGGGATGTGACCCAGCTCCTTAATGTACTTCATAAATAAATATGGAAGGGAATGCTTTAAGAGTGCAGGAACACTTTTCTCCTTAAGGAGTCTAAGGTCTCTTGAGGTCTGA